TATCCGCGAATCTGCCCGCGCAACCCGGCGTCTAGCTCCCTGGCGGGGTTGGCCCGATGATCTCTGTCCTGTGAACCACATCTTAGTCGTCCAGCGTGGCCTCAAGCAAAATCACAAAGCCTTCTTCTACGGTCATAAGGCTTGCGGTAGGTCTGCAAGCGAGTGGCGTGGACACGATTATTAGTAGAAGACTTACAAGTGTCGGTCGACGACAATTCCTCCAACATTGGTGGACATCGCTGCCGAAGAACTGCACCGCAATCCCACGCTGACACCCGGAGACATGAGAAGCATATAGGAACAGCTTCTTATGTCAGTTAGCAGTAGCAGTAGCAGTAGCAATTTACGCTGTAGAAGATGTACTATGTACCGTGAAAACGCGTTTTCGTTAAAACCACGTAGAGTAAATCGTGATAAACACCGACTGAGGTGAAAAGACCAGTGTAAAACACATATCATTAACACGTAAACACGCCACTCCGATTTGTCGCAACATCAGACTTCGTCAGAAAATGCGCATCTTCGCATTGTGCACGCAGGAAAACACCCGATCCCGCGATAGAATCCAATATAAGTTCCCTTCAGCCCACTGTCAGCACCCTCATTCCACTCCAAGGAGTCATCTCAGTCGTAGGATCCGTCAGACTGTTGGTATTCCGACGTTGGGACCTTCGGAATTTTACTTCCGTCTCGCGGCTATGTGTTGCAACCAGTATAGCGGATCTTTCTGTGAGGAATTATGGGGGAGAGCTGAGCGAGTTCTGAACCGGGGACCTTTCGAATCGAGGTATAGCCGGACAGTCTAACCAATTATGTCACGGCTGAAACTTAATTGAGCATTACTCCCGTATAACACAAGCTCTACGCTTGGAGTGAATCATTCGATTTGAGTGTGTATAATTCCTGACGCACTGCATTATAGAACCATCACTCTTTCCTGTTGTATGACGGTACGACTGATAAACTGTTAGTGGATAGTTGATCTCTGGCCTTCGAGTTCCATCTTGTGCTCATCTTGCGCTCGACGTGCGGCCAATTCAGCATCAGTGACGCTGACAGCGCCACTGACGCTGCGTCACTGCTGTTTTAAATCATGTTCATGCGTACACATATCCAACTGTGCATTGATCCTCGTGATCAGTAAGTTGTACTGAGATTGGATCACCGTAGCCACTTCGCTCAAGTTTGTTGAGTTTCCCAATCCTTGACGAATCTGAGAGTCCCCAACCTGCAACTAACACACATAGAATGTGTCACATACTGGCTAGGTATTATTACTCGTGAAGGCGGTTCACGATGGGGGGCGACTGTGACGAGGAACCAAGGGAGTAATAGGTAAGTTGGAACGTTCGCGAAACGGCTTTGTGCGTGTGTAGTTACTGCACGCAGTCCCTCAAAAGCAGCCAGTGAAATCGTGTAACCAGAAGAAGTATTTAAATTGATCAGATCATTAACTGGAACAGCTGAACCTAATAGCAACACGCATGTGCACCTGTGAGGAACGCACGCAGGGGCGTCCCGGAAAGCGTTACGGAAAGTGAAATTCGTAAGCGGGATACATTCCCCCGTACTTCGGGAAGAATCCTCTTGCTTCCATTCGATCAGCAAATCCCTATCATGTGGTTCACCGCCGGGACTCTGCACTTTATTCTTATGGTCCAAGTTATCGCTGGAGGATCGGATCGTCATGACCAACTAAAGAATATCGACCAGGCATTCCACGACTTCATGACAAGGCGAGATGATCCGTTCCCTTCAGCATCTACTAGATGCCATCTGTCGCTCCCATCGCCTATCACAATTCTTGAAGATACAATAAGAAGTATGAGACGGATGAGCAGTACCAGGTTGCAAAGGCTGCTTTTGCAGGAAACATGAGGGAGATAGAGGAATTGAGAGCGAACGGTGAGCGATGAAAGCTTCTGTCCTTCCATGTCTATCATTCAGGTGATATAACTCACGAGGTCGGCCTCAAATTGAGGCCCTCAATGAATATGCCGATGTACCATCCGAAGTATTCGATAAAGCGTTCCAGTGCGCTACAGATCCGCAGTTCAAAGAAAATCTGCGCTCAGTCAATGCGACTTGTACTATCACTTTGCTCTTGTTCCAGTGAAGTCGAAAGATTTCCTCAGACCCACAGGATGAAATAGCAGCTCCTCCTCCGTCGGTTGACTGGGAAGCCGCTGGTGCTTTGGCTCCAGTCAGGGCTCAATCGACTCAGCTGAACAAATGTGGCTCTTGTTATGCCATCGGCGCTACAGGTAAACCTCCGATCATCGGAGTCCGATGGCTTTCCATACTAATCTAGAGGGGACTTTGGGGGCGACCATCATCACAACCGTCGGTTCCTCTTCAGTCGTTTTGGAGAGCCGTTTCAAGATACAGACCGGCATTGCTCACGTGGTTCCGTTCTCAGTTCAACAGATAGTTGATTGTAGTAGATTATACGGCAATGAGTGAGACAACATTCAGTTATTCGATTGAACCACGTTATCCTCACATGATCTGAGTTTACCTTCAGAGGTTGCGATGGAGGTAGCGCCAAGTCGTCATATATGTACGCGAGGGGTCGTGGTATAGTGCGAGCCAGTAGCTACCCTTATGAGGCTGAGGTTGGTATGTGTAAGTATTCCGTCACTGAGGATCCAAACCTGCAGTGTCTCAAGGTGATTATACCTTAACAATCCATCCAGTGCTGCTTGTTGTTATTAGGATGGTGATATCTATGGAGTCGTTGACGTACCGGCGGCCAACGAGGGTCGCATGATGGAAGCTGTAGCTACCGGACCAGTGACGGTTATTCTATATGGTTCGGCCCCGACATTCAAACATTACAAAGGCGGGATTATCACAAGTGAAATTAGTCTCACCTAGGTGCGAAACATGTTTCCGTTCAATTTTGTAGCCAAGACCTGCGAAGCGTCCTTTCCGACCCATACGGTGACTATCGTTGGTTACAACACTTCATCGGATGGAATTCCGTAAGATCAAAGTATCAAAGTAGCACCCGGTGTTCATTCGCCTGCATGCTAGGTATTGGAAAATTCTCAACTCCTGGGGGAGTCTTGGCCCAAGCGAAGCCTTTCATTCCCCAAGACTCTTGGGGAATGAAAGGCTTCGCTTACATCGAACGAACCGGCAACCAACCTGGTAAGTTTCAGCGAAAACTGCAGCGCGGTCGTGTCCATTTCTGTTTCTGATCGGAGCAGTCTGCTAGGAGCAGTCACTGCTCCTATCATTGTGACTATGCGCGGTTCATCCGTAGTTACTAGATGATTTATAGGTCCATGTAATATCCTCTCCGTCTCCGGAGCTTACCCTGCTTTTCCCCCTACGATTGGGAGCTCCCCTTGCGCTGGAACTCGTTGAAGGTGCTTCACGTGAGAAAAGTCGGGCCGAAAATTTTTCGAGTTTGATGCGACGCGTCATTGAGCAATTCTGTGATGCTGATACTCATTTCTCGTCATTCTGTTACGCAGTGTTACAAATTTTTGCATGAGTCATCATGATAACTCATTATGGAGCCAATTCATACAATCGAGGATTCTGTTCGTTTGAGACATTATCAGTCCCAAGATATCACTTCACTTCTATTGTTTTCATTGGTCCGCACAAGCCGGATATATGTTGAATGGTTGGTTCTTTATAATCGACACAAGTTGAGTTGGAAGTTCAAAATCAAAAGAGCAAGGTTTTTTAGACTCATCTAATAGTGTATCATAGATAGCTTTGGGGGAAATCAGTCAACTCTACTCAGAGAATGAGGGATGTACCATTGTGGTATGCATAAGACGATTGAATCGTCCGAGACGCTTCTAGTCTGTCGAGACATTTGAATGAGACCTCCAAAGAACATGGGTCATATATCTGAAGAGACATTTGGTCCGAGACCGATTCCAACACTGCAGATGCATCTACACCTTGAAACGGGACGAGCTTGTCGGTACGGGCGGCGTTAGAAATGCAAAACCGAAAAGATAACTTCATATTTGCATTTAGAACTTCCACATTTGTCACAGGGAATTCAAGCACTTCCACTAAGGCTTGGTTACCAGGCTTGTCCGAGGTCGATAGGACGCTCGAGTTCGTGTTAGTGGAACTTTCAGTTTAGTGATTGGGAGGCAACTATGATCACCCATAGGGCCGTTAGACACCATAGGACCTGTTGACGTTGACTCATAACGCTAGCCAGAGCGTTACTCTTTGGAGAAGTACACTCAATACACAAGCAACAGAACAGCTTCCTACTACCTATAGCCTATAGCTAGAAGAAGGAACAGATTGGGCAGATTTCACAGCACACAACTATTGGACGATCGAGTGATCAACTATGCAGTAGTGGTGAGTGGCTTTGCGCCCGGTCCGTACTCAAGATTCGTTTTCCTTCCGAAAGTCAACACGCATGACTGGACAGCTGGTTGAGTGAGGGAGAGTCCAACACTGTGGAGTCACAGTGTGACCGAAGCCGATCTTTCTCGCATGATGGACTGACTCATCATCATCGTCTGATC